AGCTCAGAGTACATGCAACAGTAAGCTGAACGTGACAGCTGAAAAACCTACTAAATAGCTAACTGGACCTCAAGAAAATGTACTAAAACCAGCAACATGCCATTCTTAAACTAACAGGACATTTGATCTTACCAAAGGTAACACAGCAATTATTTTATACTACAAGATAGTCAGCCACTCTTATTGCCTGCATATACACTTTCCCCTTTTTCAAGAAAACTGTGAACTTCCTAGTCTTTTGGAAAACAGGATTGTGACTATGCAGTTATACTTCTCTAAAGTAGCATACCAAGAGTTTTCAACATATTAGGATTCATGCTAGGGTATTTGTGCAGTGGCAGCGGTTATGATTGATGATATGCAAAGATCTGATCTGTTGCAAAGAGGATGTAACACAAACCACAAAGGAACTACACACTTCAGCGTGTATTTGGCACCACAAAATTAAGACCATATACTGGGGATCCTAAACATTTTCAGCTAATCTTTTTATTCTGGCAGATTTCGCAACTTCCCTTTGCAGAAATATTCTGCCCTTGCAAGATAACATATCTAACAACAGCCTACAACAAAGCATCTACAAATCTCTGGTTGCACACCATGGCCATCTTCCCCTGCCATCATTACAGATCTAAAATAGATCTGTATTTCAGATCAGTCCAAAATAATTAAAGCTTTCTTGAATCTGCATGTGTCACTACTTATTCCTCAGCCTGTGAAACTGAATGATGCACAGCATTTTCAAACATTTAATGCTGAAATGTGAAATATTATTATTACTTTAATTCACTGCTATTATAAGGTACCTCTGGAAAAGATAACGCTTGTTTACATCACTTTCAGTTGGTCATGCTAGAACATATATCATGGTTAAAAAGTGTGGTTTGGATTTTGCAAGGGTAGGGAGGAATAGTAGCATTATATCTGTTTTGGTTAATTGCTTATGTGATATTCAAAAAACAAGACCTTCGGGAGAAAGAAAGGGAAAACACTGATTTCTCAATATTGAAATTTAGTGCACAGTCCATAATCATATTTCTAGGTACTTTAACTGGACTACAGTCATTTAGTATATTGGTATAGTCTGCATGCCTATGTCCTTGCATACAGGCATTCTAATCTACTGATTTTCCTTTAAGAATTAGGAACTATTCCAGTTTCTACTTTAAAAAAAGTGAATACTTAAAGCTCTCATAATGTAATTATACTGTCCTGTAGGGTGATAACGACAGAGTTATTACACAAGACATAGAACATATTACACAGGAGAGTATGATACCATTCTCTAAAGTAACGTCATCCATTGAAGCTTAATTTCACTGCACTCTGACCATGATCATCAAACAAGTCTCAAGTAGAACCTACTACACATAGGAGGACACATGAAGCCTCAACAGGTTGTGTCTGCTACAAAATACATTTTTTTTTAAAAAAAATTTAAATAAGGACAATAATTCTACTTGGTAGCATTGTTGTCTTCATATAATACAGCTGATACTTAATTAAAATTCTGAATAAAAGCACAGCCATATCTTTTTTTTCTTAAGATAATTGCTAGCTAGGACTTAATATTCCATTTTTGTATTTTTGAAAAGAATTTTAAGTAAGTCTCCTGAGCCATTATTTTGTACGTTTAGAACAGATAAAATAATCACGGTACACTGATACATGAGCCTAGCTCCTCTCTCAAACACAGAAGCAAACTGCCAGACCAACTCCTGGTAAAGACAACTTTCCTTGTAAGTACCAAATGGAAGCTTTGAAGTACCTCTAATAAGATGAATTTTAAATTAGTTGACTTCTGTTCATAATGGACAAGGGTTTCCAGTGCACTGCATAACAACAAGAATTACTACAGAAGGAATACAACAATATTCTTAATATTTAAAATATCTGAAGAGAGTTGTAGCATGTGCATGATGCAGTGAAAACCAGTATTATCAAAGCAGTGCGTGTTTTAAATGCTTAACATCTCTGTTCACACCAGGAACTTGCTCCTCCAGATAGCCCAGGACAGCTGAGGTTGTACAGCACCTCTGGAGACCGCCTATAGTTCAATCCCTCAACTCAGAGAAGGGTCAACAAGGGCATGCTGCTAAGGGTCATGTCCAGTTGGGTTTTGAGTATCTCCAAGGAGCGAGATACACAAGCTACACAATCTCTGAATGCGACCACTTCCACTGTTTGACCACCCTTCAAAAAAGTTCTTCTCCTTGCATACAGGCATTCTAATCTACTGATTTTCCTTTAACAATTAGGAACTATTCCAGTTTCTACTTTAAAAAAAGTGAATACTTAAAGCTCTCATAATGTAATTATACTGTCCTGTAGGGTGATAACGACAGAGTTATTACACAAGACATAGAACATATTACACAGGAGAGTATGATACCATTCTCTAAAGTAACGTCATCCATTGAAGCTTAATTTCACTGCACTCTGACCATGATCATCAAACAAGTCTCAAGTAGAATCTACTACACATAGGAGGACACATGAAGCCTCAACAGGTTGTGTCTGCTACAAAATACATTTTTTTTTAAAAAAAATTTAAATAAGGACAATAATTCTACTTGGTAGCATTGTTGTCTTCATATAATACAGCTGATACTTAATTAAAATTCTGAATAAAAGCACAGCCATATCTTTTTTTTCTTAAGATAATTGCTAGCTAGGACTTAATATTCCATTTTTGTATTTTTGAAAAGAATTTTAAGTAAGTCTCCTGAGCCATTATTTTGTACGTTTAGAACAGATAAAATAATCACGGTACACTGATACATGAGCCTAGCTCCTCTCTCAAACACAGAAGCAAACTGCCAGACCAACTCCTGGTAAAGACAACTTTCCTTGTAAGTACCAAATGGAAGCTTTGAAGTACCTCTAATAAGATGAATTTTAAATTAGTTGACTTCTGTTCATAATGGACAAGGGTTTCCAGTGCACTGCATAACAACAAGAATTACTACAGAAGGAATACAACAATATTCTTAATATTTAAAATATCTGAAGAGAGTTGTAGCATGTGCATGATGCAGTGAAAACCAGTATTATCAAAGCAGTGCGTGTTTTAAATGCTTAACATCTCTGTTCACACCAGGAACTTGCTCCTCCAGATAGCCCAGGACAGCTGAGGTTGTACAGCACCTCTGGAGACCACCTATAGTTCAATCCCTCAACTCAGAGAAGGGTCAACAAGGGCATGCTGCTAAGGGTCATGTCCAGTTGGGTTTTGAGTATCTCCAAGGAGCGAGATACACAAGCTACACAATCTCTGAATGCGACCACTTCCACTGTTTGACCACCCTTCAAAAAAGTTCTTCTACTACACTTAAATAGAATTTTTTGCATTTTGATTTGTGACCCATTTCCCTGTAGTGACCACCACTGAGAAGAGCCTGGCTCCATCTTCTTCATTCATCCCATCAGGTATTCACACACATGGATAAGATTTGCCCCAATTCTTTTCTTCTTGACAAGCCCCAGCTGTCCCATCCTCTCCAGTCCCTCAATCATCTTTGTAGTCTTTTATTGGATTACTTCCAATATATCCAGGCCTTTCTGGTACTAGGGAGACCAGAATAGGACACAGTACTCCAGATGTGATTTCCCCAGTGCTGCCCTAAATCTAAAACTACTAAGTTTTAAATTTTACTTCATCCGATATTCTTCATTCTCTCCCGTATTTCAGTTGTTATAAAACAACACAACTTTATCATTTTTCATACCTAGATTACCAGCAACACAGATGTTTAGAAAACCATTTTGTACCTTCTAAAAACATACAAAAGCAAAATTTATTCTAATCCTTTGAACCAAAACACATCAAATTAGCCAGCTATCTACAGATTCTTCAAAGGTAAGGAGGATTTAACTATGCCACTAAATCAGGAAACCAGTCATCTTTCTGTAAGCTAGTCAATTATACCAGTTACTGTTTAGAAATACCTAGTAAACTAAAAGACTTCTGATATCAGAGAATGTTCTTATTTGGTTTGATGGGTTTTTTGGTAGTGGGGGAAGGAGCTGAGAAGCTCCCCCTGCTCCAAACCGAGCCAAGGAGCCATTAGAGGGACAAGAGATGTGCCTCAGCTATTAACATACAAAAGAACTGAGGTAAGACCCGGGCAGAGAAGCACTTAAGAGCTGTGTGGTGGAAGCAGAGCTGTGCTGGTGGTTGGTGAGGAAGAACGGGAAGAGTGTGTCCAAGCAGAAGTTTCTCTGCAACCCATGGTGAGACAGCAGGCACTCATGGAGGAACGTGGTGGAACATTCCCTGAAGGCGCCAGGAGGGGTGAACTTGGCCACTGGACTTGGATTTTGTGGCCAGTGGATTTGCTGCCTGTGGACTCTGATTATGCAGCTTTGGAAGACCCCGGCCCCAGGGGAGTTTGTTCCCGAAACAGCCCATGACTCTGTGGGAAGCCCAGGCTGGAGCAGCTCTGGAACTCGTGGGAAGGACTCATGAAGGAGACATTCTTGGAGGACTCTCTCCCATGGGAGGGACCCCGTGGGGAAGCAGGGAAAGACTGTAAGGAATCCTTCTTCCTCAGGAGGAAGGAACAGCAGGAACCACCAGCCTGTGAATGGACCCTAAACCCCATCCCCTGTCCCCCTGTGCCGCTGGGGGGAAGGAGGGAGAGAAACCGGGAACAAAGTGATTTGGGCCTGGGAAGAAGGGAGGGGTGGGGGGGTAGTTGAGTGAGCAACCATGGGGCTATTTCTTTGTTGCTGTGTTGGGCCCAAAGCATGACAGAGCAAAATAAAGAACTCTTCCTAAAGAAAAAAAAGGAACAACACAAAGCATATACAAATAATAATTCAATCTAAAAATGGCAACAATATTGTCTTAGTTATAACATATTGTTAGAAATATGGGGGAGATTTATGACTTTTAGGACTTGTTTTCAAATTTGTAGTAACAAGGAAGGTTGTAAGCTTATCTTAAAAATTAGGTTTAGTTTTTAGGCAATAAAATTAGGCAATAGTTTTTCACTTACATTTGAGTGTTTCTCCAGCATAAGGGATATGTAGCTTGAACCGATCACAGTTAGGTCCAGGGGTCAAGGATGTACAGCTAAAAATGAAGATAAGAGAAGAATGTGCTAAGCAGTTACAGATCATAGCAGATGCTTCACATTACGCTACAGGGTACAAATGACTGACATAGCAAAGATTATGTGTCTACCAGAAATACTCATCCTCACCATTGTAAGAAAAGGCAGGAAAGATGCAGAAGGCACATTCTTTTTTGATTAGCAGTTCACAGAACATCATGAGAAACTTTAGGACCCAGCTACCACCTTTCCCATTTTAACACACAAAATACACATATAAAATGCCCTGGTTTCAGAGTGCTATTAGAATAATATCAATTAGTCAAAACCATAAAATTATCTACTTTGTATACAATTTTGCAGGTGACAACTCTTTACCTATGCCACAATAACACGGCTACATCCTCCACACGTCTTCCATGAAGACACCCGGGATGTAACCTAATTTTAATACATCAACAGTCATTTTTACTTCTAACTTTCCCTTGTGGAAAAGTCTCACAGGAAGCCTCCACGTGAACAAGTTTCCGAATCAGGCATTTGAGCCTATGACAACTAAGCATGCAAGTTCATGATTTGTGACCATTTCTTATCTCCTATTTATCTAGAACACTGGAACAGCAGTTGGGTCTCACAGTGATGAGCAAGCGTTTAATAAACACAACAGTCACTGAAAAACTGTTTCCCAGAGATAACAAACTTTTTCACATCTTTTAAGTAATGTACCAAAATCTTTGCACAGCAAAGAACCAATAATCACAGCTGCAAAAGGACAAGCAGCAACACAGGAATGATCCCTAGAGTTCTCACAACTGTGGGCTGGTGGGCATACGACAGATCCCAGTAGCAAAAATACTGGAAACCCTTAACAGTTTCCATATCTAGGGATCTTAATAGCCCAGAAGTCTTCTTGCCAGCCTAATATAATTGAGAATTATTTATAGCCCAGCACAAGAGCTACATTTGTTGCCAGCCACTTAAAACTCAAAGCTAATGACTGATCAGCTCAAGACAAAACAAACAGTGAAAAGGTAGACAAAGGTAAAATAACCTGTCTAAGCTTGTATTTCAGATCACTGGTAAAGCTGTAATAGAAACCACTGACAAAAACCAATAAAACAGAATACATGTTTACTAGGCCATATACACAGCCAAAACCAAAAAGGTAGCTAAGCCAGAATGCACAAAAATTTGGATCCTACCTTACCAGAACTATACAACACAGCAATTCCTGCAGCTCTGTCTTACCGCAAAAGGGGCATCATCGCAATTGAGGTAATGTTAATTCTCATTGACACATTCAAAATCCTCCAGAGAGCTGGCTCTGTAATCTCTTTTCTGTTTGAAAGTTAAGGAAACCACATGAACTAGCTAAAATGAAGTTTCCACAAAAATACCAGAAAACATAAGCAAACCATTTGTGTGCACCTAGAATCTAAGACAGAGAACCGGCAGCCTACACTGGCTCAACAAGAATATACTGCATTTTAAAACAATCATTACAGAAATTAGGAAACTGTCCTTGCAAGTAAGAACAAAGCAACACATGTTCCTTCTTCACTTTAGGAAGTGTTTTGCAGTGTCTTGTGAGAGCACTATGCAAGACAATCTACACAGACATAATTCAGCCACAACTACTATCAGATGAGTGCAGATTTGACTGCAAGTTTCAGAAAAGATTCACATCTTGCTTCATCCAGGAAGAAGGCACTGACTGAGCCTTCTTCTAGTAGAATACTACTTCACATTTCATTGAAAGACTGATGACGCAACAGAGATGATGTTTACTAAATGTGTTGATAATGAGCACGACAGCAAAGGCAGCATGCTGGCTGACAGGACCAGAGCTGAAAAATGTTCTGATTTAACAGTCTATACTACTTCTTTTTGAATTAAGTCTAGGTAGGGCTTACCAAAAATGGTATCACAACCCTCACTGGGAGTAAAATTGTGGTCTGCTTGAGAATATGAAAGATTGGAGGTCCAGTGCATAAGAAACAAAAGAACATAATTGCTTCAAAGATGCGGGTTTTTAGTAGGTGAGAACAGCACAACAGGGGTGACCATTTTGGGCTGTTATAGTGACCATATTGGGCTGTTAATCCACTTCATTTAAGTGGATTAATTTAAAAGCTATAGGCATGAGAGTATTATTATCTACTTTCAAGTAATTTCTAAGGCTTACATCACATATAAGTCAACTCTAGGAAGCAGACCAAGAAAAGCAATACAAAAAAATTATTTCAAGTTCTAAAATATCTCTGCAACATCAGTTAATATTTAATGGAAGTTTCTTTCAAAGTATCACAAAGTCACATTCTCAAATACCATAAAAATAACATTGTTGTTAGCTTTTCAACAGACACAAAAAAAACTGTGATCCTGCAAATACCCTACAATCTTTTCTTTTAGCACAATTGGCCATTTGGAAATACTTAGAGAAAGTAAAATATTCTTAAACATTAAAAGTCTGATTTAATGGTAAATGTCCCTAAAAGCAATACTAAGTATTTCTCCCAGTTTATTATACTGTACAAAAGACGTTCTTAATTTTACTGTTCTAGAAGAGATGGAAAGTGACAGTATTCAGACTTTTTTTTCTCCCAAATTACTCTAGCTAGGCTGCGCAAGAGACCTCAATAACTGCAGCACGCTGAGCAACCAAGCAAAAATACATTCAGTTGAAGGGAGGCAGTTACTTTTTAGTATGAACAGTAGAAGCACAAAGCTCCTAATGCAAATCAAAACTTCAGTAGATCTAGTAGTCTCTGTGTGATCTTATTTTGTCAGAAAGCCACAGATAATGGCCTGGCTACAGACATCTCAACACACAGAACCTCTCATAACTACAAACATGCCCAACCCAGAAGCATGGCCTCTATATGCTCCAAAATGTAAGATTTTACATTTTCTGATCCTTTACTTGACATTGTCCACACAAAAGTAACATTGAATAGGAGTAACTTGTAGCGAGGTCTTTTACATTATTATTTTTTTGTCCTATCTCCACAGAGAATGGACAGAACCATAATATCTGGTGTTGAAAATTAATTTCAGAAGTTGACTGAATGTTATGATCAACTGATGTGCTATCTCCCCCTTTATTAATGGAGAAAACATTACATTGCTTTGCACGTCTTCATTGAAATAGTCAATATTTTACATAAGGAAGACATGGAAGCATGAATTAATGCTCTGATGCTCAGGGCAGTGATATGAGTTCTTCATAAGATGATTAATACTATATCACAAGATCTCCCGCAATAGTTTCTCTACTAAAATATCAAAGAATTATCAATTTAACAAGCATCTAGGAAAAAGGAACATCTTTGAATCACTTAAAATCATGCTGCCCTATTCAAAGGAGCTGTGCTGAGACCTACAGTTGGAATCTAGTAGATGGAATTGAGTATGCAAGAAACCATAGCTGAATAGAAAATTCTTCTCCTTCTCAGCAGATTTTAGCTTAATTCCTTGTGCAAATACTGCAGATTAAACTAGAGTTGAGATACATCACATTATAAAACACACATTCCAAGCAGGAGAGACAAGTAGAACATCCCCTTGTTGAATGTTTGATGCATCTTGCAGTTGGTATTGTCTGTGACCTGTTGTGAAAAGGTTTCTTTCACAGTAAATCAAACACATAAACCTGTCTAGAAAGACAGTCTCAGTTGAGCTTAATACCAAGGTTTTCTCTTACATCAATGTATTTGTAATGGACCATTCTGAAGAACTGACTCTTCTGTTTTCAGCTAAAATTATTCCCTTTCCTTCTGAGACAACGTAATATTGTGCAGGATTGAAACCATGTTGATAAGAAGGACTGCGTTAGCCCTAGATTTCAACTTGGTTTTCCTATTAACTAGTCTTCTACAACCATCTCTTGAAAGTATTCCCAAGACAAGAAGTTTTAAATTCTTTGGGCTCTGGTAAAATCTTACTCAAATGTAAACCTGTACCAGCTGAAGGTCATATAAAGACAATTTTAGGGAAAATGGAGGTCAAGTTCCTTTCATAATACAAGAGGCTAAAGAAAAAAATGTAGTAATGATAAGACACAATTCAGTCAGGGGTTAAGAGGCTGAAGATTTTGTCAGCAAGAGTCAAATACAATTCAGAGGCAAAGACAGGTAAATTCTATGTTACTAGTAAGAGGCAGCAAACTCAATACTCCACCCAAAAATCTTATTATGGCATTTGCTAAGAAAAAAACACCTTAATGTTAAAATCAAGTAGAACAGCCTTTGTTGATGCCTTTAGATTCTTTTTTCCTCCCATTTTTGTAGATGGAAATCTGCTCTAGTGTTCCTTGAAGACACAATATTTCATCCCATTTAATTAAGACTTAATTGCAGAATTAACAACAGATGGGTAAATCATCTACAGAGGCATTAAGAATAATTAAAAGTGTATGGATGGGGGAGGAGAATAGAAGGAAGGCCAGCAGGTGACAGGTTTTTGCAAAGACCAGGAAACAGAAAAATGGTGGAAAATCGTATTTTAGAGAGCTGACACTGATGGTGAAAACTTGTATCTTACTGCAGCTCCCTGTAGCACTGTACAAATCTTTATAGGCTCCCAGAGGCCTGCAAATACACAAGGAGAGTATTAAGCAGCTGCTGCTGAAAACTAACAGATCCAACCAAAATTCTGTCAATCAGGCAAAATTTGAAAAGGGAGAGAGTCTAGTCAATCAATTTTCATCTTCAGCTCCTCTTCTTTATACAGCTGATTCTCCTTTACATACATATTTACATTTCCTTGTATGAACATCATGGTACTAACTGGAACTTTTAGAAAGGAGTGGGATGCTGGACAGAACACACACCCTAGGAAATAAACCCCTCACTTTCCTCCTGCACCCACATGCAGATTTGCAATTTTTTAAAGAAGTTCAAATAACTATTTAAAATTAATTAAATTGCCATCAACCTGCTTTCATTAGAAAGAGTATACACAAACATCTAATGACTACTGTCATTAGTAAAAAAATATAGCAGCTACACGTTAACAAATA